CGTCCTTCAGCAGCTGCTCCCCACACCTCCTCCCGCCCATCCTTGTGTATCTAGGATAGGTGGGGGAAATGCTCGCCCATTTGCCAGTGGCCTGGGTGTGTGCTCGCCGGCCTGAGCCACTTCTGAGACTGTGTAAAGCCACCACGCTTATCCTTGGCTTTCTCTGCTGGTGGGTGTGGCTTGATGTTCTTATCTGGTAGTTTCCGCTCCAGCCATTTTGCCAAGGAACATCTGGGAGTTCCTTGGAAACAATAGCAGCCATAAATGCCCACGCCCTGGTCCCACCCCAGACCAGGTTTAATTCGCGTGCCAAGGGCCGAGGCCTGGGCCTGGTGTTGTGAACGTGCCCCCACCCCACCCCACTGGATGGAAACCACGTGGGCAGACCGGACTTCCCCCCAAGGCCTCGTCTTGTATGTGCACCTCCCTCGGGGGTGAATCCAGGCCCCCAGAGGTAGAGCTTTACCTGGTCTCTACTTTGCCACTCCATCCTACCCACACCAGTCACCTGTGGAGTCCCCCACGCTTCCCCTGTCACCACCCTTCAGACGCCCCACCCCAGAGTTGGTCTAAACTAAGGTGACCAGATGTCCCGCTTTTGGCGGGATAGTACCGATTTTGAACAATTTTTCCCGTGTCCCGCGGCGTTTTAAAAAAGTCCCGATTTTTTGAAAGAATGCATGACAAGCTAGGGTGTATGGTTTTCAGCTGCCATGTGGCTATTTCGCCAGGATATGAGTTTTATCAATGGTGTCCCGCTTTTCCAATGTTAAAATCTGGTCACCTTAGTCTAAAGGGACCAGCCCACACGACACCCACCCCTTCTCCTTTGGATTTGATAGTTCTCTGCCGTGACTCACAGGCCTCCTAGACAGGGCTCTCTTTAGGATTGCAGATGTTAGCACAAAGTCTGCTGGTGCGGCAGGTTAAGCGACACCCTGCTAACTGAAAGGTCAGCCCGTGAAGAGGGACAGCAGGTGTACTTGGTCAGACAGGGCCCCTGTGAGCCGCAATGGAGTCCACAGCAGCGGGGTTCCTTCAGGGTGATCCAGCAGCAGCAAGGCTTCTGCCAGGGTCTGGGAGGGTTCCCAGAGGGCACGTCACCTTCCCTTCCCTGACCAAGGCTTCAGTGCACGGGGCTGCAGGTGAAAGATTGTCACTGTGCTGTGGCAATCTGCTTCCGGAACACCAGCCCCTGACCCTTCTGTGGCGCACAGTCCTCCCTGGGCCCACGTGGCTGTGCTGGTCCTGGCAGGGTGGTGGTGAGGACGAGCGGAGGTGGCCTGTGCGAAGGGCACAGGACAGGGGTCGCTGGTAGAGAAGGTCCGCCAAGAATGCCCCGGGTCTGGGCTCCCGCCTGCTGGTAGGCAGAGAGCATTGGCATTGATAGAGGGCTCACTCATTCATTTTCTCCCCCACCTGTGTTTTTCTCCACCAGAACCCTTGCCCGGAGTCCAGCGCCTCCTTCCTTTCCAGAATCACCTTCTGGTGGATCACCGGGTAAGGCCATGGGCAGGGTGGCCGGTGTGTGGGCGCCTCCACTCAGCTCCCCACTGACCCCCACGTTCACCCATTTCTGTTCTGGGGCTTGAATGTCAGCATGGTTTGTGGACTGTGTGTTGCTGTTACATTATGAACAATAACTTGATGTTCGTTCGCTCCCCATCTAGCGAGAAAAAGAATACATTCTCAGCACAGTAACTGTGGATCAGAGACACACGCACAGATCAACAAAGCAAAAGCCCCAGAAGCCACCACTGTCTACACTTTGACAGGCCCCCTCCTCCTCTTCCTCCTCACAACACCTTCTCTTGCCCATTGTCAGAGTCCTGCTGGGCATCACGCCAGTCTTTCTTTGCTCCTTATTATTAGCTCTGTTGGCACTGTGAATAAGGGCGCACCTGCTCACCAGAAGGTCGGTGGTTCAAGCCCGCCATCTGCTTCTCAGGAGAAAGTGTTCTGCTTTCATGGAGATTACCAAACCAAACCAATTCCTGTAAATTGATTTGAACCTTTTATACCAGAGTAGAACAGCCCCACGGAGTGTCCAAGGTTTTAATGGTCATGGGCGCAGACTGCTACATCTTTCTCCTATGGAGCCACTGGTGGTTTGGACCCTCGACTCTCGGGTTAAGTACTTAACCACTGATTGACCAGGGAGCCTCTGTAGAACCTCGGAAACCCGAGCAGGCAGTTCTCCTCTCCTGTAGAGTCGAGGAGTCCTGGTGGTGTAGGGGGGTTAAGCCTTGGGCTGCTGACCTCCAGGCCGGAGGTTCAAACACACCACTTTCCTTAATGGGAAAAATGTGGCCATCTGCTTCTACAAAGATGCAAAGCCTCCTCTAGCCACATCGGGGGATGTGGATAGCCTTGTTATTATGCAGGGTGCATTGGAAAGTGAGTTATTGTAATCGGGTGAAAATTTAACCACCTGCTCTTTTGACCCACTTTAAAATTTATTCTAGTTTTAAATTTTTTCTACTTTCTTTTTGATACAGGCTTTTCTGTGTTACTGTTGTTCGTTCCTTGTTCTTTTTTTGGTATGTTTTCCTGAACATGCGATCCAGGATAGACAGATAAATCTCTGGAGACACTAACTGGAGTAATGGTTTCTTGGGGCTATGGTAGGGGGGTTGGGGAAGTGGGGAGCTAATGACAAAGAGCACAAGAAAGAAATGTTCTAAGATTGATTGTGGTAATGACCGTATAACTCTTCTTGATAGGATTGAGCTACTGGACTGTGTCATGGGGCTTCTGTACCAATAAAACTGTCCAAAAATTAATATACAAAATGAATTCTAATACGTACATTCAACAACAACAAAAGATTATAGCCTCACCAAGCCTAAGGAGCTGTTTCCTCTTAGAGGGCCACTATGAATTGGATTAGACTCAACCACCCCTCCTTCTAAGCTTCATTCCTTGTCTTTATAAATTCTTTACAAACCTCTTATTTCCTCAAGCAACCATTTTTACTTACACATAATTGTTTTCCCCAAAAAAATTTTCATTAAAGAATGTTATTAATGTGATTTGACTGTGGACCATGGGTTACCGCCTCCATGGTGACATTTCTGGTTTGGATCACATACTCCGGTTATCTAAGAGCTTGTCCTTCCTTGACCCTGAAAGGACACACAGCAAGAAGGAAGGACAAAGGGGAGTGGAGTCCACAGCTTACTCTCAACAAGGTCCTCGCATGTGTGAGTAGAGGAACAGGACCCAGAACTTTTGCACACACGCACATCGCTAATGAGCGCTGTTACAACCAAGCGGTTGAGTGTAATGAGACGCATCGAAGCTGGAGGAGTTACAGGATGCCATATTTGCCCTACTCAACACAAATATTTGAAAGTACATTCCGGTCCTCTTCATATCCCATCCTGAATATTCTGTATGCATCTCTTCTTTTAAAAGACTTTCTTTTTTTTTTAATCCTCCTGGGTGAGCTTACCAAATTAGCAATGGTTATTTGCTGTGGCCTGATGTCCACCCAAGCCCTGGTGGTATGGTGAGTTACTTAACTGGGCTGCTTATGGCCAGCTCAGCAGTTTGGAACCAGCAGCCGTTCTGCAGGAAGAAAAGATGCTTCCGTGAAGAGTTAACAGCCAGGAGCACCCAAAGGAGTGGAGAAGCCCTGACCCATGGGTCGCTGAGTCACAACTGACCCCATGGCACGGAGTGGGGAACTTGAGACTGTCCACTCACAGAATCCGGTGTCGCAGCAGCTGAGCACTTGGCCGCTAACTGGAAGGTTGACAGTTCGAACCCACCAGCGGTTGTGTGGGAGAAAGAAGGGGCCGTCGGCTTCCGTGACAGTGACAGTCTTGCAGAAAGCCTGTCAGTCAGCTCCGCTCTGCCTTGCAGGCTTGAGCTACGTAGGCATAGGCTTGAACGCACCAGATTTGGTGTGAAAGACCCACTCGTGCCCCGGTTTCCCGACTGGACAGCCGCCCTGAGCTACGTGGGTGAGGTGCCACCGCCCTCTTCCTTTCAGACACTCACCGCTTCCCTTTTCTCTTCCCTCCCTCCCTCCCCTTGTCCCGTGGCCACAGGTTGATGGTCCAGGGCTACCGCCACCCGCTGGACAGCACAGACCTCTGGTCCCTGAATCAGGAGGACACCTCTGAGCAGGTGGTGCCTGTTTTGGTGAAGAACTGGAAGAACGAGTGTGCCAAGTCTAGGAAGTAAGTGTGCGTAGTCCTGCCCCTGGGGGAGCCAGGTGCCCTGTCTAGGGTGCCCAAACCACCCTGGGGGAGCCAGGTGCCCTGTCTAGGGTGCCCCAGCTGTGCCCTGGAACAGTGGATGGGGCTCGAGTCCCAAGTCTGGCCCTGGGCAAGTTGCCTCCGACCAGAGTGCTCATCTGCCTGCAGGGGGCTGAACTTGACCTGTAGTTGGTCAGAAAAGAGAAAGGAAACATCTGTTGAGGATGTGCTGACTCTGCCTCCTTGAGTCTGCCCGTTCTCCCTCTCTCAGCATCTGGCAGGCTTGCTGTGGGTTTCTGCTGTCTCATGGTGACCGTGCGACATGCTGCATGAGTGTTTAGCCAGGGGCTGATTGACTGTCAGCCGTTTCTCCTGTGGGGTTGTTTGACATCAGGCCAGGCTCTTCCCTGTGCAGGCCACATCCCCTCCGTGAGGCCATCAGCTGTAACAAACAGGATCTTAGGTATCAATAAGAAAGAGAAGGCTGCCAACTGAATTGGGATGAGCCGTTGCCTTGGGCCACGCCCTGATTCCAGAGAAGCCGGGCCTGTACTAAGGAGTGTCCAGGGAACAGTGGTGGTGGTGGTACAGGGTGGCTTGTGGGCAGTGGTTGGCCCCTAACACTACAAGTGGGGCTGGGGGAGAATCACCAGCAGCCTCACCCCCAGGCTGGTATTCCCCTTCCGAGGCAGAGGTCAGACAAGCCTCTACCCTCTGAACTTGGTACCACTCCGAACGCTCTCCACTTCTCTGCTGAGTTGGACAGTGAGTTATAGTGACCACACCCAACCCCCGTGTAAAACCTGTGGTGACGGGGCTGCTTGAGGAAGTAGCGGGATCAGGAACAGTCAGGGCACAGTGGGTCGATTGAGACGACCTCTTATCAGCCGGACCTGCCTTGATCATCCCTGCCTGTCAGGCCCTGCCCTAGGTGGACCAGCGTGACAGAGCTCTTTCAGCTCAGCTACCACGTGCCCACAGGCTTTCTCCCTCACCGCTCTCACGGCTGCCCTGCTGTGGCATCTCGCCACCTCTCACTGCCTCTGGATGGAGGTAGGGCAGTGCAGGGCTCTCTGGACATGCTCCCCACCTGGCTCTTCTTTCTCCATGGGAGTGAGGCCCCCCGTTCCACCAGTGGGATGGTTCATTTCAAACCTAGCAGGGTGACTGTATTAGTCTAGGTACTTTGGAGAAACAAATCCACAGCAACTCATGGATAAGAGAGAGTTTTATGTAAAGAAAGTGTGCATCACGAAAACATCCCAACCCAATGCTGCCCAAGCCCACAAGTCTAACATTATCCCATTAACCCAACACCAGTCCACAAAGTCCTCCACCTCACAAAACAGAGGCAATGATGCCGACTGCAGGAGGAAAGCTGAGTCAGTGAACGAATAAGCATCTCAGCACTAGCAGGGGTCGCCACACGGTTGCTCCAGCACCCAGGGCTGCATCGGGATAGGTCCATGTGGCTTCTCCTTGGGGATGTCTTGTAGGAAGTCAATCTTGCAAGCTGAAGCAGGGAACTGCTAAGGCATCTGCACCCTGGTGCGACCATCACAAAGCAAGAGAGCCGAGAACTAGAAAGGCGAGGCTCACCACCCATTTATCCCTCTGCCTTTCAATTAGCCCCACATGTGATTATCGGCCAGGTTGGCACAATTAACTAACTCAGTGACAGACCTAAGCAACTCTTTTGTGAGGGGTCCAGACACCTTCTTTGTGTGTTTTCACCCCACAGGGTGGTGTTGGTACCTGGTACTTGATTTACATCATTAGCAGGCCTCTTGGTGGACCACAAACACCTCACTTTTTTCTAATCCCACTCAATCATGGGATGGGAGTTATAGGCAATGGCTGGGAGGGCCATATGCACAACTTCACTACATGTATGTCAGGCTCCTTACAGGCCAGTAGGATTTGCAAGGACCTGAGTTCTGGTCCCTCATCGCACTTTCTGGGAATATACAGATTGGATGTCTGAGGTCGAGCCAGGGCCCAGGCTGAAAAGCCAAACTCCATCCTGTCGAATCGATTCTCCACTGCAGGTGTCACCCAATCGAATTGCCCCAGCAGGTGCTCTTGGTTGACATCTTTATGGAAGCAAATCACCAGGCCTTTCTCCTGGGAGGCAGTTGCCTGGGTTTGAACCTCCAACGTCTAGGTTAGCAGTTGAGTGCAAACTATCTGTACTACCCAGAATCCTCCAGCCAGGGATGAGGGTGAGAAACTGGGACCTACAAACTTCTGGCCCCGAGGACAGTGGCAGAGGACCGTGTGTACAGGTGTGTCAGGTGCGAGCTGCCAGAGCCCAGATCCCTGTGCTGAACACCTTGAGGGGCTTGCTGGCGGGCACCTGCCCTCACAGCACCGAGTGAGTATGTGCCAGGTGGAGTCTCCTGACTGGCAGAGGCAGGCCTCTGGGTGCCCTCAGGCTGGTCTGCAGCCGCTTTCACGATGAGACGGTGCCATTCTTATTCTTGGGTTTCGCCATTGGTTCGTTACTCAAGCCTAGCTGTTTCCTCGGCCCCTCCTGCCCACGATGGTTGGCACAGGGGCAGTGAGGCCTGCTTGCACGCTCTGCGGAACTCACCTGGCGTTGAGAAGCTGCAGGGGGCACCGTGTGACCCCACTATTTTACACGGAGGCTGCTCTAGGACAGGCGAACCGTAGGGGTGAGGGTGGAAGCAGGGGGAGTCAGTGGAGGCAGGGGGCAGGAACTGCCTTTCTATAGACAAGTTCCTTGATGTCTGGGAACTTCCGGTTTCTGCTTCTCTGACCTCAGAGGCTTTCTGAGAAGTCAACCGATAGCTGGGCCATTGCCCTGGGTAAACCCTGGGCAGGTAGCAATTGTTCATGTGGTGGTGTTTTCAGCTGGGGCCAGCACTGGGCTAGGAGCTTCCCTTTGGACTAGGAGCTGATTCATGGGGCTTGAAAGGGGGTCGGCTGAGGCAGGCTCATTCTGATCCTCCTGTGGTCCACAGGGCTGCTTGGGTGGTAGTCGAGAGGCCATCGGAGGCAGAGGCGATCTGGGCCTGTAACCACGGGCCAGGCGGTCGTACCAGGTGTGGCCGCTGGCTCAAAGGCCCGGGAGAGGGTGTGCAGCACTGGCTGTGGGCCGGTGGTGTCCCGTGCCCCCTGCAGCCTTTCTGTTGATGTGTCTTGGTTCTGGGACTCAGCCCTGAGACCTCGCAGCTCGTCTCCAGGAAGCCAGAGTGACTCTGAAACCAGCTGGAATGGCCTCCCTACCCACCACCTCTGGGCTGTCAAACCCAGTGCCCCATTGTTTTGTGTCAAATGGTGGTTT